ATCATTTAACCTAGGAGTTTATAAGCAAGTACAACTTATTTAATATCAAACAAAATAGGAGTCCCTGGTTCACAGCTAAAATATCAGCATTGCTCAAAGTGAGAAATAAAGCTTGGGTTTTAGCCAGACAGACTGGTGATCCTGGTCATTTGCTTGCCTTCATTGCAACTTAGAAACAAAGACACTTCTGCAATAAGAAAAGCTAAATCTAAATGTTATCTGTTTTTATTTCCAAAATCACATTCATATCCAGCAAAATTCTGCAATGCAGTGAATTCTCTGAAGCTTCCTTCATGCCCCCCTCCCCCCTCTTGCTACAGCCAATGGGTGTTCAATATCAGATCAGAATGAGATTTGTATAGATTTTAATAATCATTTTGCAACAGCTGGCAACTTATTTTATGAAGTTCATGCAGGCCCTGCTTTGTCCATTACTGATCCACATGTCCAAGTAATGCCAAGGCCTCGCTTCACTTTACAGTTGTTCTCCTCTAGTGGCATGGTTAATGCATTACTGGCAATAAATTCAGTGAAACTGGTTGGCGAAGATACACTTGATCCCTATCTTTTAAGGTTTGCTGCTCCAGTTATAGTCAGCTACATAAGTATATTTTTAATCTTTCAGTTTTAACTGGGATAGTTCCTAAGGTCTGGAAGGTTGCTTATGTAATCCCTCTACATAAAGGGGCTGGAGGATCTGACCTCAACAGTTATAGATAGGAAACTGATAATTCAGATGATGAATTTATGAATGGTACATTCATTTAGTCACTGACAAACGTAACAATGGGACCAGACAAGGATGCTCTTGTAGATGATGCCTGCATTGTGCTAAAACTTGGCAATGTAAAGTGTCTGTAGTCGAGAAGGATCATGGTGATGATGGGGATGACATACAAATTCCCAGGCTATAATCTACCAGTGGAGGCTGCCACTTTCTGTGCATATTTTTGTAACATCCTCCTTTGGATGAACAGACTTAAAAAGTCACAATAAAAAATCCCACATTTATTTGAAAAACAGAAAAAGATATGAAACAATTGAACAAGTTAAACAACTATAAATATATGATATTATATCAAGGTAAAAAATGACTAAAGACAAAAGAACAAAATTATACAAACAGATCATTTGTTTCAAAAATATAATTAAAAAAAATATTTGATTACTGCATTTGATTTTCAAGTGTGTATCTCCTTGTACTCTTGTAATTTAAATGTCAAATTTAATTTCTCAATTAAATTCTCTGCTCTTCTTAAAGTTTTCTCTTTTACCTTAACACAAATTTGTTCTTGCATCTCACTGTTTCTGTTTCTACTCTCTCTTCACTAGATGGTATTGTATTTCCTGTAGGCTGATGATGGGTGACTAACTGGATCGTCTTGATGTAATTCTTGGGCATTGACATTTGCATCCATGGCTGAGAGGGTTAGTATGACTTCAGGTGGAGCTAAGGCTTCAGAGAGTGTTTGTGTGGCTGGAGCTGAGAAATTTGATATGGCTGCACTGCAGGTAGAGCTGAGTGGCATGTCAGAGATGGAGCCAAAAAAGGTGATGGAGCTTCCACTGCCTTGCCACTCTCAAACCCACCTTTTGAAACAGAGACAGGGAATCCTCCTCAACTATGCAAAGGACTAAAGCTGAGCAAGGCCCCATATCTGTGTTTGGTCCACCTCCAATTATAGAGTTCTCTGCTGCCTGCATTTTTAAATTGCATTTATAAGCTTTGTAATTTCCTCCCATATTTGTTGATTTATTTTGTTTAAGAGGGACAAGCAAGGATAAACTAATGTTACAAAATTAATTAAAAGTAGCTTTATTGCAGCTAGCTAACATATGTAAGCAGCTAACATAAATGGGCCTCGTTTACCAACCATTTTTAAGAAGAAATTTCTTCTTAAAACCCACTTAAAACGCAATTTTCATGAACATTCTGACATTTACCAATGTTTTCTTATTTGGAATTTCTTCTTAGGTAAGAACAGAATCTACACACACAGTGCAGTTTAAGAAAACATAATGAATCTGATGTAGACTTTTTCTTAGGACCTTTCTCGAGAACAAATTTAAGGAAAAACTTTAAACCTAAAAGATATTGGTGAACGCCCAATGTTATTTAAGCAATAGAACACAAGAGGGAGTCTGTTACCTGTTACACAAGAGGGAGTCTTATAACACTGCAGCTGTGATTTGGTCACAGATTGTACCAAAATATGCTTAAGCATGGCATGTTCCAGTAAGTTTATGAACTTTGTCTTTTTGACATAAAATCACAAAAAAAAGCTACATATTTCACTGTATAGCAGTATTTGAAGCCTTTACTTTGTAAAAAGAGGATAATAATGCAAATTTCTGCTAACATCTCTATGGGTGAGGTACACTCCCTTTTCAACACAGGGCTTAACTTATGGCAGTCTAGCTTAACACTGACATTTGAAGCTTGTAAGATATTAACATGTTCTTTACTCTGTATGTTGCAGTAAATATTTGATGTAATTTCCACCCTGTGCTACACTTTAGGATTAAAAAGTAGACTGATGCGCTCATGAAAATGTGGTACATTGGATTTCATGCCCACACAGCAAAATTGGAAGAAAAACAAACAAACAAACAAAAAAAAACAGAGAACAGAGAAAACACAAAACATTTGTTTTAAGGCCTTTTTGAGGACATTGGAAGGTGAACTGAAATGTACAAAATTATGAAATTGTTTGCTGAAATCTTTATTTCTTCATTAGTTAAAAAGCATTTGTCCTGAGTCTTTAACAAAATGTGTTGCTTACTCAAGTGATCCACCAAGTAATTGCCTTCTGCACTCATTACCTTCACTGTGGCCTAGTTTTCCCCTTTAATGCCCCTTTACTTAAGAATAGTGACCCCTGCTGACGTTTCTGCCATTGCACAGCCATATATTTTTTTAATCCCTGGTGATTCCAAAAAATGTATATAGAGAGAATTTGGTTTTAAAAGACATTTTTTTTTCTTTTGTTAAAATGTAAAATTATATGTATCCACCCAGACAAGGACCAAAAAGCCCCATTTAGCACAGCCCCCAAAATATAATTAAATCACACAGTTAACTTTTACAAATCTGCTGCCTTACAAAGCCAAACCAGATCCAGTGTAAATACTGCAAAGATGCTGGAATCATTCACCCTACTTCAACAGATGGAGCTAGTAAAAATTATTTCTCAAATCTTTTCTCAAATGTTCTCTGTATAGCAACGATTTTGGAGAAAGCTGAGGTGCAACAACTATGTTACTACTTGCATAGGAATTGTATACATGAACATTTTCAGTTTTGAGCCTCAGTAACAGCAAACAATCTCTTATTATCATCTGACCAAGGTAATGCACCTTATAGGAGTAATAGAAATAGCTCCATCCTGGTGTAGATCTTACCTAACTGATCGATATCTGTTTGTTAATGCAAACAGCAAATCATCTGCCCATACAAAAGTAAAGTACGGTGTCCCACAAGGGTCTGTTTTAGGACCTCTATTAATCACATTATATATGCTACCATTGGTTACTGTTCTCAGTAAATATGGCATCAACTTCCAACGTTACACCAGTGAGACAAATTGTGTATGTCAGATGATAACCTTCAACTTAATAAGATTGAGGACTGTGTAAAAGACTGGATGTCAAATAACTTATTCCTATTCAACTCTGACAAAACAGGTTCTTTTTCTTGCTGTCTGATTTAATGCTAAATCTTGGCTTCTCAGTTGTATCAGGTACATTTGTGGAAAAACCCTTGGTGTCACGATCAATTCCGGTTTGTCCTCTGATGCACATACTGTTGTATGCAAAATTTGAAACACCCTTGGTCAAGGTTTAATTGATGTTTTAGGTGAAAATAAGGTAACACATCTACTACAGGGAGCAAAGTTAAATATGACATTTTCTGCAAATTGCAGTGCACAATTTCTATTTATTTGCTGAGTGTAACATATTGGAAAAAAAATAAAACATAAAACAAAATGTGCCATAACTCGCACAGGCCACAGTTAGTTTTTTTTTCAATATGTTAAATTCAGCAAATAAAAAGTAATAGTGAACTAAAAATCTTTTTATCAAGGGTGGATTTTAGCAGGGATGGCACTTTGCATACAACTACGTAAGTAATATTAGTAGAATAGTTTTCCCTTATCTTTCCCTTATCCCTTATATTACAATATTTATAAGTTAAGAAATGCACTATCCTTACAGGATGCAGAAAAAGTAGTTCATACATTTATTTACTGTACTACCCTTGATATCCGGATGTTCCAGTAAAAGCATAAACAAGCTTCAGTTAGGCCAGAATGCTGCAGCCGGAGTCTTTACAAAAACTAGGAAGTTTGACATATCAGCCACGTTTTATCAACACTACATTGACTGCCAGTCAAATTCTGTATTGAATACGAAGTCTGCTATTGACATATAAAGCTCTAAAAGGCCTCATTGGTAATTTATTTTCCTGTTAGATAAAAGGTGCAGATCTAGAGGTTCATAAAGTAGTATGGCAAGTTTTTTTTGCGAACTACCAAAATTAGGTTTCATTATGGAAATCTAGATGAGACACAATCTCTGCAGAGGCTTGTGAGATCTCACAGAGGCCAAAGGAGAGAGCTTACTGTGTAGGGAAGATTTCAGAAGGAGAAAGGGACTCAACAGATGAGACTGATGCAGCATTAGTGTAGAGTATGCTGTTTTCAAATGGCACAGTTAAACTGTCAGAAGGAATAACTTTTGGGTCCAAGTGAAGTGGGAGACTAGTTGAAGAGGAAACTTCTTTAGATGGTGTCGACTGCATCAGCGATGAGCAGGAAATTAGGTCTGTAACTTTGTCTTCTGCTCTAAACAGCTTCTTAGATCCATCAATTTGCTAAAATAATGTCAGAGGCTCCTTAACGTCTTCTGCTAATAGGAAGCATTAGAATCATTTTATATTGTTGCCTTTCATATGTCAACATACTTTCAACAATCCATGAAAATTAGCCAAGCAAACTCACCCAAATCCATGAATTCATTGTCTTTGTAATCTTGAATGGCCAGTGAAGTGTCTTCCATGTTAGTGGATGAAACTGAAAGATTCATCTTCCCCTCAGGCATGTCAGACACCTCAAAGTTCATTATTACCTCTAAATCATCTGAGAAACCTGAGAAAAGGGCACACACAAAAATTCTTTTTCAGTAAGACATCTTGCTCCTTTTTCTTGGTTGGAAAATGCTAAGAACTGGTAATCCTCTAAAAAGATGCTTGAGAGAATACAGAATTTCCATTATAAGATCTTTTTTGGTATGCCCTACATTAAGTAACAGTCACTGACATTTGTTACTGTTACTATCCTGCTGCAAAACCATCATATTAAAAAGTCCACCCTGGCATTGCCAGCAAATTTAAGAAAAACTTAACAGAAAGGAAATTGTGGTGCTCACTTGTTCCCTCTCAAAAAAGATATGTATGTAAATAAAAAAAAAGTCACAAAAAATAAAACACAAATCACAAAAAGAAAATCTGAAAGTCAACTGCCTTGTGTTTTTTTCCTGACACATGTAAATCTCTTCACTTCTCAGTATTTCCTCTACCTGGATCCATGACTCTGTGGACAGGTGGTGGTAATGGGGTGTTCAAATTCAGTGACTGATCTGGGCTTGCTATTAAGGAGACCTGAAAAGAGGCACTACAGTTATTTTAACCAAAGACACTCCCATGTCAAATAATTGTTTAATAATGTTTTATGTTCATCTCAAACATTTACTACTCACTTGCTTGGTGTTTTCATTGGTTGGCAGTTTCCCAGCTTGACTTTCTTCTATACAAGAGGTATGACAAACGTTCTTAAACTTTGAGCTGTCAGGGCAAGCTGGAATTCGATGCAAGTAGCCATATCCTATTCCACAACCAAGACTTTAAAGCATAGGAAAAAAGATATTTTACTGGATATTTCATAGGATAGATCATTGAAAACTGTAATGTATTATTTAATTAGCATATGATGTAATTAAATAATATATAATTATTTGTTTGATTGTTTGTTGGTTTGTTTTGCTATTATCTGCCTTCTCCTCCCCATGCTCCATTGGGTGTAACTACCACCTCTCTGCATGCATCTGTTTCTGTGTTGTAGACTAAAAGCTTCAGTGACTTCCCTTCATTGGCTTCTGAGGTATATTTAGAAGAGTAACTTTATAAAAGAAGGCAACAACACTCTTAACGTTGAGTATAAGTATCTAGGAGTTCCCTGTGTGCTCTGTTTTGCAGGTATGTTTTTGCAGGTTTCAGAATGTTTAGGTTAAGGGGGCCCTCTGGTCCAAAAGGCCCCATAAGGAGTGGGCCTCTCACTTTCTCCCTTCTTCTCTTAGTTCCACATAGATTAGATCATTTTAAAAAGGACCATATGTTCTGTCTCCTGTTTCAACAACAAGTCCACTATATAAGCAGCTGGAATATTCTGTTCGAGAGAGGACATTTAGAATTGGCACGGATCCTCTCTCAGGTACTTTATAGTGCTTGATATGATGCTGTTTTACTTTGTAATAAACATTTTACTAGCAACACAGTGTCAAAGGAGTTGTCCTTCACAACATCTACACATCATTGCTACTTAATAAACAACACTTCAATCAAGGATAACAAATCCTCTGTCTGTTGAAATATGCATATTTAGCACACAACCTTATGCAGAATTAGTTTGAAAAGGACATTTTATATGCTCTTCATAACCACCATTTAGATTTTTTCTTGAAACTAATATATATATATATATATACATACATACATACATACATATATATATATATATATACACACACACACACACACATATATATATATATATATACACACACACACACTGGGAGATTCACTCGAAAGAGGCCCCGAATATTCTGTAATAACTCTCACTAGGACGAAGCAATCTGAATGAAACAAGGTGCAATGTGCTCCTCAGTATATGGAGCTTCAAACAAGTTGGGATGCCCCTGCATCGGAGCGATGAGGTAGGCACTGGACAGCTGTCGCAACGTTTAACCTCCGTTTGCAACTTCCGGGTGCATACCTCTGTACCCCTTCAAGTGTCTGGCAGAAATGCAATCGATTACACATATTCCAAGGTATGTAGCGATTTTTTTTTTTTGGCTCAGATTGCTGAATAACGGAATATTCGAGGCCTCTTTCGAATGAATCTTCCTGTACACACACACACACACACACACAAACTGTTCCCACAAAGTTGGAAGAATACAATTGTGCAAAATGTTTTGCTATGCTGAAGCTTTATTAAGATTAATATTATCTCCACAGAAACTAAGGGGCCTAGGCCAACCTCTGAAAAACAACCCCAGATCATTATCCCTCCTCCACCAAACTTTACAGTTAGCACAATGCAGTCAAGGCAGGTTCAGTAGGACAACAGGAGGGTAAGTGCCCGGTCCAGTTTCCCTGTCCGCAGCTGAAGACACTACTCAAGTCTTCCTGACCGCAACTGAAGACTCTTCTGCAGCCCGCTGAGGACATCACCGCTGCCCCTACTGTGGGAACATCGCTGCAGCCCTACCAGCAGCTGAGGACATCTGTGCCGTACTGCCCACCATGCTAAAGTTTGTGGCTGCAGTCCTGTCTGCAGCTGCTCTTGTGTCTTATGTCATTAGACAATGACATGCTATGTTTATCCTTTGGCTCCTAAGTGTTTTTTTTCTTTCTTATTTTTTTAAAGATTTACTGATTTTAAAGGTTTTACACTTATTCATACAATGACAAAATTGAGCACATAACACAGACTATGATTAAATATCAAGGATGGATGTAAATAAACAAAAGAGGATCAATTAGATCTTGATTAGATAACTATTCTTGAAATATATGCTTATGTATGCTACATATAAACCATATTCCATTAGCCACTGTAAAAGAGATAAGAAAAAGAAAAGAATACAACATGCAAACATGCCCATTGGGGAGGGGGGGTGGTTAGAAAGAAAGGAAAAAAAAAGAATGAATGAATGAATGAATGAATGAAAAATAAAAAGGTCCCTTGGCGCATTAGTCTTCTTACTAAATAATCATGGTCAAAGTACAACAAGTAAGTAACAAGTACCGATTTACAAAGTAGCAGAGGGGAACCGAATGAATTTTAAATACTCAAGAAGAAGAAGACACCATATCTTATAAAATTTACAAGTGGAACCTCGTAGTGTAGCTCTCATTTTCTCAAACTTAGCAAAATGTAAGAGATCTCTCAGCCAATCCGCTTTCAGCCAATTCACTTTGTAGCTTGATATTTATAAAGTAGACGGCAACACTCCAAACAAGATAGTTACAGGGTTAGGATCAACTGGTACTTTCAGAATCCTAGAAAGAAATTGGAATATATCAGACCAAAATTTATGAAGGGAAGGACAAAATAAAAATATATGGATTGAAAAGGCTGGGGCTTGCTGACATCTATCACACAGGGGACTTGAACACGATGCAAAATTGCTTCCCATATATCATCAGCCAATTCCTTGCCAAGATCCTTTTCCCACTAGCTCTCTAGTACAGAGAGGGTAATTATAAACTGAAAAAAATTCTAGCATATCGGATATCATAACTTTCTTGCTTACAGCGACTTTAGAAAGACATCAATGGTGGAGCTTTCTGGTTGATTGGGAAAATGGGGCGTTATCATACAAAGCTGCAGACTTGTAGATACTGAAAAAATGTGTTATTAGGCAGCTGAAATTTACTGCTGAAAGTTGTTGAAATGACAAATTTCCCATCAATGTACATGTTACTAAAATGTGCACTACCTAGATCTGAGCATAATGAAAATGCTCCACCCATTATAGATGGAAGAAAAGTGTGATTGCAATGTACAGGGGCATGTAACGACAATGTTTAAAGCCCAAAGTAGCGTTTAAACTGCGTCCAAATCTTGAGTGTGGATCTGACTATTACATTTTTAGTGTAGGGAACAGTAGAATAATTTACTGAGTATACAAGTGCTGATAAAGAGGATGGTCTACAAGAAAAGGACTCAATCTTTATCCAAGAAATATCTGTTTTTGGATCAGTATTATTGCAGTGCTGAGAATGATCCAGCACCCAAATAGTACCTGCTCTGTGAGGGTCCATGGGGGTCCTGACCACTGAAGAACAGGGTAAAAGGGGCCTAACAAAGTATGCAGAGAAACAGATGGACTACAGTCTGTAATTGTAGAACTACAAAGTGCACCTATTTAGTGAGTGGAGCTGATGAAGTGGACAATGAGCGTAGAAACATGCAAGTTGTCATAATGTTATGCCTGATCGGTTTATGTATGAGGAAATTATGGGTGGCTAAATTCAAAGGAAATAACTCACTTTTGTCCAAATTTAATTTATAGCCAGAAAGTGCTCCAAAAATATCTAATGTTGATAAAACCAGGGGTAATGATGTCTTAAAGTTTGAAATAAAATGCAAAAGATTGTCTGCATAAAGTGACACTTTCTGTTCAATACCGTCTCTGCAAACTCCATAAATATTAGGATTAAAACGTAAAGCTATGGAAAGGGGCTCAATGGCAATGGCAAAAAGCTGAGGTGACAAGGAGCAGCTTTGCCTGGTGCCTCGCAAGAGAGGAAAATAACCAGAATGTGTATTGTTAGTTCTAACAGATGCACATGAGGAAGAGTCTCACACATGAGATAAAGTTTTGACCAAATCCAAACTCTATTGTATAGAAAAGGTACTCCCACACTCCAGACGGTCAAATGCCTTCTCTGCATTTAAAGATATAAGGACCTCTGGAGGAGTTGAAGATGAAGGATTACAGACTATATTAAGTAAACATATAATATTTAAAAAAAGGAATATTTTTAACAAAACCTGTTTGATCATTTGAAATAATTGTGGGAAAAACATTACAAATGCATAGATAACACTTTAGCTGCCAATTTTGCATCTACATTAAATCAAAGATATTGGCCGATATGAACCGCAGACAAGGGGATCTTTATTTTTCTTTCAAATTAAGGTGATAGATGTTTGTGTCAATGACTGAGGCAAGCATTTAGATGAATATGATTCAATGAGCATATCAATTAAAAGCAAAGATAATTTATCCAGAAATTTCTTATAAAATTCTATGGGGTATCCATCTGGCCCAGGGCATTTGCCACTCTGCATACTATGAGCTGCCCTTTCTATTTCCTCCACTGCAATAGGCTTTTCCAGCTCTGAAGCTGAGACTGCATTTACACATGGTATAGGAAGATTATTAAAAAATGCTTCAAAGTCTGAAGAAACAACTGATAGCTCTGAAGTGTATAAAGAGTTATAATTATCTTTAAACTGATCATTTATCAACATCATCAGTTGTAGCATTTTAATTTGTAAAATTTGAAGCACAGAGGATTTCTGATGTAGTTGATGAGCTAATAGTTTACTCACCTCATCACTTTGTTCGTACTGAGTGTACTTACTTTTAATTAAAATGTCCTCAGCTTGAGCTGTGGGCAACAGATCAAACTCAGCTTGTAGTAAAAGCTTATCTTTTAATATATCTGGGAAAGGTGAGGAGGCATAAATATTATCTAGTTGTGAAATTCGAGCTGCCAGTTCAGTTAACTTTTTAATCTCTCATCTTTTTTTCAAAGCTTATGTATGAAATAATTTGCCCCCTGATGTAAATGTGAATGTTTCCCAAAGAATAGAGGGAGAAACATCATCTGTCTTATTAATTTTAATAAATGCATCAATCTGATCAGAGAAAAATGTAAGAAACTTGTCATCAGAAAGTAATCGGGTATTAAAGCGCCAAGGTGGGTGCGCTGCAGTGCCCCTTTCCCAGCTCAAATCCATTGAAATGGGTCCATGATCAGATATAACAATAGGGTGACAAGAGCGTACTGAAGGAAGGAGTCTATTGTCTAGAAGGAAATAATCAACGCATGTAAAGGTATGGTGCAAATGTGAAAAAAAGAGTATGCTCTACTAGTAAGATTGAGAAATTCTCTGCTATCTCTATTTCCCTCTTTCAGTTACATGGCATAAATGGGAAGGGCAAATGTCATCAAGCCAACTAATCAAAAACAAGATCCGTTGCCAACATTTGTTTATTATCAATGTTATTGATAACATTGATTACTTGTTGCAGCTCTAATTATTGATAATCAGCTTCACAAGTGAAACAGCAAACTTCTACTAGAATAACTAGTAGAAACACAGTTCCCTCATTAACTAGCAGAATAACTAGTAGAAACACATTCTTATTGGGCTTCTGACTGGAAAATCACAGTTGCTGAATGTGCACACACAAATGTTGAAGTTACTTACATTTTGCAAGACCTGGTCTGCTCCAACAACAAGTCCAGCCACTGCAGCTGGTGAATTTACCTCCACTACCTCAGAGAAAAGAGAAATAAAAAAAGTAAACATCTGATTTACCAGAGCTCTATAATATATAGTTATAAAGTTTTGCAGTTGGTATAAAAGAACAGTCTCACAAGGACATGCCAGACATGTTCATTTGCTCCCTGAAAGCTGCAGAAACTAACACTGGCTCCCAGTAATCCTTGACCTCCCCACATGTTGCTTGGGACAACCTGCAACTCCCGTATTCTCATGCTCTTTATGTTGAACACTTCCATCTTCACTGGCTTCTCCACATTAGCCTTCAGCAGGTTCTTAAGTATATCATTCTCTTGGTTCTGTTTGGCAAGTGGCATCATTTAACATTAGTATTTGTGTTTGGTTTTTAATCTTTACTTTCACATTTTACATATCATCAAAGTTTGCATGAAGGACAAAGTTGATAAGTGAATTACATTTTTAAATAAAATGGGAAATCAAAAGGTAAGTTTATTCTTACACTCTATGCAGTTAGAAACATGGTTTCAAGATAATGTTAGGAAACAATTAGTTGACAATTTGTCAACTATTGTTTTCTGATGAGGGACCATGGTTACTATAAATGTAAGTATCACAGACACTAAGACATCCCCTAACAGCAAGAAAGGGTAAAACACATTTCCTCTTTTAAAAAAAAGGATACAGACTTGCAGGCATGTTAATTTGAAAATCACGTTTTACTATTTCTTTTTATCGCGATGGTTAATTAAATGACTCTTTTTCCAAAAAAAAAAAAAAACATGTTGGTTTAGGAATCTTGTCATAATTATTTACGACATTAAAATTTTAATTACATATTCATAGCGTCACTTCTCTCTTATTTAAGAAATAGGCCATAGCATGAAAGCGGACACATGCTTTTGTTATTTCACACCTACACTATTTTTAATACATTGTTTACAGGACTACCTACAACTACAGACTGCAACTCTAACATAATGCCACAGCCAGAGTATTGACACATACAAGAAAGAGAACATGTTACACTTGTTTTAGCATCATTGCCATGCCACAGCAAACATACCCCAGTTGGCCCACTGTGGGCAATGCAGACCTGAACAAACTCACAGGAACCCCAAGTGGAGTAGCCACAGTGCCTAGAACCACAATTTTGGCATTTTGTCACTGAGCTGCAAACTTGGACAAACCCACAAACAGCCTACACTGGACTCTCAGTGTGAGGTTACACATTTCAGTATGTTAAAATCCCCTAAGATTTATTAGATGCACAGAGCAGCTCTGACTTCTCAAGGTACCACTATGGTGTCATATTCTGACCAGGTTAGGCTTGGGCGATAGCATGATAGCATGAACTGATTTAATGAAAACTCACATATTAAGTAATATAATAAGAGGCGCTGCTACACCAGTTTTGGGAGGCCAAATGTTCTTTATATCTCCAAATAAATGCATTTAGTTTGTTTAAATTATTGTTATTATTTTTTTTTCTCATTCATTCCACCATTCCATTGCCACAATTCCTGCCTGACTGATGTGTTCGCTGAGTTGTGACAGAATGTTTGCCAAAAGCTTACTAAGATAAAACAATCTGGCCTTTTTCAAAATACATTACATGCAGAGTGAAACAGTAAGCATACTTTTAATAGTGCTTATAGACTACATTAAAAAGCGCATTATTCCATACCGGACCATTAGGCTGTATTCACAAGGGCAGTGTGGTATCCAAAAAAAAGAACGTTTTGCCATTGATTTTGAAAAAAGTAATGTGTTAATGAGCTGCAGGTATCATCACATGGCAAGGCGCAAAAATCACAATTTGTCCGTTTGTCCATTACAAAAGTTAACGAGAGTTCAACTTTTGACCGAGTGTCCTCTGATATACTCATGTGCCAGCCGATAGAAGATGGTGTGGGTCGGGCCTTCAGTCAGTCCAGTTTGATTAAAACTAGCATGCCCTTTTGCTTCGTTCTATGAAAAAAACAGCAAGTTTTCATAAGAAGCTTTCATGTTTACATGAGTTTCCTACTCATGGATCTCCACCCACAACAACAATAAACCAGTAACATTTATCAGTGCGGTTTATTTTTGACAGATATCAAAAGGTTCTTTTGAATGCAGCCTTAGAGTTCAAGAGGGACTTGTCACAGACTTGTTATTAAGTTGAAAAAACTGTGCTGTCCTAGGTGTGGCTTCTTCTTGACTAGTTGTTTTATTTTATAAATAATAATAGTATTAAGGATGGAAAAGTTATTCAGCTATAGATTGGAATCAGTCAATATTGGGCCTGAACATGAGATCCTGTGTTACTACCAGAGGTGGCAATTCCACAGAGTGTACAGTAGGGGTGCAATGATTATTCGACTTAGTCGTCTAAAATCGACGACCAAATTAGTTGGCAACTAATTTAGTAGTCGATTGGTTGGTGACGTCATTACTCGTCTTTCTAGCGCTCTCTAGGAACGTTTTGACATTTCCGCTTACTGGAGACTTAACAACAGCGTGGGAGCTAAACTCAGAAAAAAAGGCTGTCAGTTATGCCGTTTGTAAAGCCTAGCTTAGCTGACATGGGAGCACATCCTCCATGATGGAGCATCTGAAGAGGAAACGTCGGCTCACTGGGTGAAGACGATTCATCTCGGTATATATATGTATACGCCGCGTCCCAAACTGCATACTAGCAACCCAAAGTGTGTGTAAAAGTTGAGCATTTACCATTAGAAGTGCACTCATTAGTGTAGTATGTGAAGTACAGAAGTGTGTGGTTTGGGGCGCGGCGATAAAAGCCGTCCTACTTCATGTTATGAGCTGAGCTGTAACATTTGTATTTTGAAATGCGTGTTCTCCGGTATCGTTAGTGGAGTTGTAACAGAGAAGCAAGTAACTATTATTCACAGCGACCCTGTTCACTTTCCAGATAACGTTTACACTTTTAAACACTGCATCGTCGTCTTAACGTCGAGGCCACCGGTGCGTTCAGATTCGGCGAACACAGAAGAGCGTTTTTTCTCCGCGAACGCTTGGCCCCACTCGCTAACAGTTTAGGTAGCTGGACAAAGCGTTACCGTTGAAATGAAGCGTTTATACAAAATCGTTCAAATTTAACTGTTCATAGAGAAGTTTGCCACAAACATTCGCCACGTTATCATCCGCTCTATCAGAGCGCATCTCCTCTGCTAAGGCGAATATCCGCTCTCAGAGGACAGCGAGTCTCTTACAGGAGCACGGAGAGACACTCACTTTCCTCCGTTTCAATAAAGACCTGTGATTGTAGAATTTAGTTGCATTTTGTTTAGACAGACAGCAGAATGGACAGATCACAGATTGCACTGCTTAAATTTAACATTTAGATTTAGATTGATTTTTTTTATTTACTTGATTAAAGAAAAACTGATTTAGTTTTATTTTATTGCTGCTACTTTGCACATCCTTGGTTATACATTTTGACAGGAAAAATACACTGGAATTTTATTTTTAGTGTTAGCAGTAAAGTTCATCAAAACAGAGATTTCTTAAATGTTATTCATCTTTATTATGTTCATTGTTAGTTAGCAAATGCATAAAACAACCTCAAGCTAAATTTAAAAGCCAATAGCTACATAGAAGTTATTTGGTAATGTAGTTATTCATAATCCGAATAATTGATTATTTGTTTCAGTAATCGATAGATTATTCGACTATTAAATTAGTCGTTTGTTGCAGCACTAGTGTACAAACATGGAATTACTGGCAGAGCAATGAGGGCTTTCCTACTTTCAACAAAGCTGCTCAAGTCTACCTCTGTCCCTTTTATATATTAGATGTAAACAAAGTCATTAAGAGTTTTTGATGTGGAATGGTTCACTGTAGACAAACTTACTAACACAGATTTCTTTACAGTAGTGGTGATGGAAACTAAGGGTCACAATGTCTACAATGTAAATATAGCCAGTTTATTTAAATAAAACCAGCACGCCAGTGTGGTAACATATTTTCTATGTACAGACTGACGGCAGAAGAAATCAGAACAAAAGAAACAGGTTTCCCTGTTAAGTTGTGATGCAGTTCTCTGTTCTTCAAAGTAGGGAGAGAGTTGAGCAACCTGACAGCCTGGTGGATGAAGCTGTCCCCCAGTCTCCCTGATGGCAGCAGGCTGAAGAAGCTGTGTAGTGGGTGAGTGGGATCACCTGCCATGCAGAGGGCTTTCCGGGTGAGACTGGAGCTGTATATCTCTTGGAGGGAGAGGAGGGAGGTGCCAACGATCTTCTCAGCTGCTCTCACGATGCGCTGGAGTGTCTTGCGGCAGTACACGGTGCAGGCGCCGTACCACACGGTGATGCAGCTGGTCAGGATGCTCTCGATGGTACCTCTGTAGAAGATGCACATAAATGGGGCCGGGGCTCTGGCTCTTCTCAGGTTGCGGAGGGAGTAAAGGCGCTGATGAGCCTTCTGGCCAGTGATGCTGTGTTGTTCGCCCAGGAGAGTCCTCTGTGACATGCCCTCCAAGAACTTTTCACCCTCTCCACAGCAGCACCGTTGATGGTCAGAGGAGCATGCTGGGTGCACGTGCGACAGTGTGCAGTCGTGGGACATCAGAGTGAATAGGAGGGGGCTCAGTACACATCCTTGCGGGCCTGCCTGTCCAGTTTGAGAATGAGCTGCTTGGGGATAATGGTGTTAAATGCAGAGCTGAAATCTATGAAAAGCATTCTGACGTAAGAGTCTTTTGTGTCCAGGTGCGTCAGGGCTGAGTTTGCTTGTTAAAGGTACAGACAGCTGCAGCTCGCTACTTCCAAAGATTCCACCGCTCTGCTTAGGCTACATAAGTCAATTTCATGAAATGATACAGCGTATTTTCAAGAGCCTGTCAGAATACATCTGATACATTCAGCATGTCCAGCTACTACTCATGAATTACATTTGTGGTTGATTATTTTAAAAAACAAAATGAGAAGAGAGAAGAGGAGGCTGGTGGAGAGCAGCATATGTGAGCAAAATGGAGCGGCAGACATTTCTGCTCCTCACTCAAAGTGTTTCTGGAATTGCTCTGCTCTGGGTTTTCTATTTTTCACTGTCCCTCACACATCAGTCAATCAATCAACCTCTACTTTCACTCAGAAACACATTGAAGGTGACTCTCATTTTTAATTTTCTTGCTTTAAGCAATGAGAAAAATTCACTAGTACACCAGGGACTCGATCTTCATAGCTTTTTTATGGGGGGCGTGTTTGTTTACCACTGCACAGAATAATTGAAAGTGGAAAGTGAATTTCACTCATTGCTAGGTCAGAAAGAAAAGACTGCTCATTAAAATTTTAAACATGTCTTCTAACCACTACAAAAAGCCTGTTTTTTTCCTGGA